TGTCAGGCTATTAGACATTAATAAATAACGGTGAAAAATATTTTAAATAATTTTAAATCAAAACGAATCGTTATAAAAATTTCTTAAATGCATTAAATTGCCCCGAGCATCAACATCATCATTATCGTTAAAATAACTACACAACAATTCTCATAAAGCATTTTTCTGCGCATTTAAACAGATATTGAAAGATAATTGATGTTTGTAGTTTGTCTGTCTGCTACCTCTTAGGTAATAATATTCAAATATTTTGAACTGGTAATTTTTTGAAAATCAGTCAATTTTCATTCATTTAAAAGCTAGCTTAACTTACCTTACGTTCTGTCCTACAGTAATGCGCATCAGTCAAGCATACCCAATCAAAACTTGAACTAGCTCTTTTTCCCGAGATTTCACCTAAAAACAATTTCTTATGTTATTTCATGTTTATCAGAGTAGCATCACTCCACATAAAAAGATTTTTTTTTTTCAGTTCTCTTGTTCATATAAATTTCATATACTCTGAAGGAGATAAAAGCATTCGAAGATGCAGTCAGGAAGAAGAAGAAATATGAAAAAGAGAAGCAAGAAGTAGTAGAAAAAAAGTTGAAACTTTTAGCGTTGCACACATTAAATCTTTTTTTGTGTGTGCAAATAAGAAGGAAAAGAGAAACAAAATAAAATATTTTCAACAGCGATAATGAACTTTTGTACGTATAGCTGAAATAAAAGCTTCCACCTTTTTATGTACTTTACTCTCGTGCTTCAATTTAAGCGTAGGAAATAACATTGTTTATATTTTAAAAGAACACACAAAAAAACAACAACAAAGAATTAAATCACTTGACGAGTGCGATTGGGAAACAGAGAGAGAAATAGATATAAATATAGAACGTGTAGATTTAGTAAGCTAATTACTCAAGCGCACGATAATTATATTCGTAAAAGTGTAAAAGTGTGTGTGTTAAGTAATTTTAATCTCATTTTAATTTAAATATTACTCAATTTTTTGTTAATTTTCTTCTCAATTGTCATTATTTTCTCTAGTTTAGCTGTGAAAAATCTTCGTTTTTGCCTACTATTGGCTTGACTATATAGATGTAGGTATGAGTGTATATGACTTTTATATATTTCTTTTGTTTCACTATGTAAAATTCACAATAACAATTTAGAGCTCAATATTTCATGAGTAAATGAGACTATGTACTCACTTTGGTCTGTTGGATGTTGAAGTACTTTGAAAATTTCTTCAGGCAGTTATTTCTCAATGAAAAAAACTTGACAGGAGTTCAAAAAATTATTTTCACTTTGTTTTCTTTGTGATTGTTTTAAAATTTCAACGCCTACTTTCGTTTTGACTTTTTAGAAGATATTTTTGTCAAAACAATTTGTTTCATGTTTATTCTGGTTTATTTTTGCTTTAAAGTCGAAATATTGACTGCAAAAGATTGTTAAATGATTAAATACAAGAGGTTCTGTTAAATAATCTAATTATATTCACACCGTATTCACGTGTGAATCTATTGGTTTTGTTCAGATTGAAAAATCAGTTTTTCGAATTTTGCGAGGAAATGGAGAAAGATAGCTTAACAGGTTTAGAGATAAAAAGTTTGTGCCTGAAATTTTACATCATTTTCAAAAAACAGATTTCAAATTGGTTTTGGCATTACTGAGAAAATCGCAAAATACGCTTTCTATAAGCAAGCATGCAAGTTAATCAGCAAGAAATCTCAATAACGAGACATCGTAGAGACTTCTAGTTTTTTACATTTGATCCGTGCTGCTCTATAGAAGAACTGTACTGTTTTTGGGCAAGGTAGGAACAGCAGTTGCTTTAGAAAAAGCGAAAAACTTTCCTTTCTTGCAAATTTTTCAAAAAAAAGTTTACTGTGATTTTTATAAAATTAAACTTTGGATGAAAAGTTTTTTTAAAAAACTTTTAAAGAATGTTCGTTAAACTTTATACCTTCAAACTTATGCTGAGCGAAGCTCAGCTAACCCGTAAAGCTTTATGCCTTCAAACTTATGCTGAGCAAATCTTGGTTTATCCATAATACTTTTGATGGTACGGTGTGAATATATCCGCATTGGGTTTCTACCCGATACACTAGTTTTATTTACCTTAATTCCTCTCTTTATCGATAATGATTTTAGTTCATTTGTCAATCAAGGGGCCTAAAACTTTGAATTTGTCATATTCAGGGAAGATAACTACTAATTTGCCCTGATTTAAATTCAAATTCAGAAAACAGTTAAAAAACTTACAAAATAGATCAGATTAATCAAAATTTCAACATTAAGTTATCCAAGAATAGTGTCAAAAAATTACAGAAGTCCTCGTGCTATTGATCGAGGGTTATAATGAATCCTTATAAAGAAAGGCTTTATTATTTAACGGTCAATAAATAATTTGAAATTTTCCCGCTAAAAGTTGCACTACGAAAACATTAGTAATATAATAATTAAATAATTTGTTCCAATGAATTTCCATATATAAAAAGTTTATTTTTCAACGGTTTTTTGAGATTCAAAAATTTTTAACGATAGAAATAAATTCGAATTTCTAAACGCTCTCATCACGTGTTTTTTCATATGAAATATAAAAATCATTAATTATAGTACAAAAACACTGTTTCAAGACTTTTAAATGCGTTTCCCGAAAATAAAACAATGGACCTGAGCTAATAAAGCAAACTAGAACTCTCTACGATGTCTAGTTAAAAAGTTTTTCTCCGCCCGAACGAACAAACGAACAAAGTGAATTATTAAGCTACCTTTTCGAAACAAGTTTCAAAAATGCGCTAAAAACTACAACAAGTCAAATAAAATCGAATAAAAACTACGTGTATTAATAAAGTTACTTGAGATAATAGATAAAGAACAAAGTATATGGGCAAGTATGCGTTTCGATTATGATGACATTGAAAATGTTTGTTTTAGAAAAAATGTTCCAAATATTATGAAATTGCATCTCCTTATCACTTGATTGATACTAATCATAAATAATTTTGCGATAAAAATGGTTAGAGATATGACAGTGACATATAAAATTTTTTGCAACTTGTTGCCTTATTTATTAATTATTCAGAAATGCTATACAATTTCAAAAAAATTTGTTCGAACAGTTTAAAAAGAGTCCCAGAATTCATTCTATTCAGAACATTTTTTTCAATAGCACGAATTTTTTAATGCATTTCTATTATAGTCATACAAGCGTAGGGTATTGGCTTTTATGACAGCTGATTTCTACAAATGTGTAAGTGTGAAATGCAGGAAATGTACCCAAAGATCTGTTATCAAAAAGCAAACAGAGTTTGTGTTAATTAGCATCCCAAACAAAAGTTGAGGTGCTCTGTTTTATAAATTCTTATAAGATTACCGAGATTTTTTTCTAGTTCCTCATAAAATCTATTTACTTATGACGTAGAACATTTTTTTGTAAAATATGGGGGTCTTTTTATTCTTGTTTGGTTTTGAAAGGAAGAGCAGTTGTTCATGAAAACAAGGGATAGCTTGTACTTGAAATTGATTAAATGACGCTAAGGGATTGTACATGAATGATGTGTAGCTTGTAGGGATGGGAATATTTGACACTGTTTGTAAGTAAATGTGCAATGGTGTAGTCAAGAGTTTAAAGCAACAGAAAAATCTTTAAATTGTTTTAAACCCCCGAGAATTGATTACACTTCTTAACCATAATGATTGTTTTTAAGGGGGGGGGGTTATAAATAGAACCACTCAGAAAAATCCCCAAATCTCAAATAAAATGCGTCCCATCCACAAAAATGCGAAAATTCTAATTGAACTCAATTTTCTACATAAAAAGGCTATGACTATACGGTTAATAAATAACATAATATATTTATTTTGCTACTCTTTTTCTATGTTTTTTAAAAGAAAACAACATAAATAAATTAATTAATGATTTTTGTCAAGCAAAGATTTTTTTTTGTGTTCATTAAAATTAAATTGTATATAAGTTCCAGAGCAACATGGAAAAAAAGAAGTAAGTTATTGGTCATGCATGCGGTTGATTTGTTTTCAGCTTCTATCACATCACCCGAGTATATACATTAAATGCACCTCTTTTATACTATTTTTTTTTATGTATGAACATTTACGACTAAATGCGCATATCTTTGACTATTCATTAATGCTCAATCATGACTTTTAAAAATTAGCAAAATTAAGATTTTTTTGAAAAATTAAGAAAATTTCAATTTTTTGCCAAAGTGGAAATTTTTTTTTTCTGTGTGATATTAAAGTTGATACATAGATTTTGTATATAGCAACAACAAAAAAAAAGTATATAAAGTAGGGCTACTTAAAGCCTCGATATAATGAATTGGAAATTGGGAGAAATGAAAAAAATCGTTTAATTATGCTTTATTCTTATATATTAGCCATTTTGAGGTTATAATATAATTCAAAAAATTTATTTAATCCCAGTATATCCATCCAAATCAATCAAAAGTATCAAAAAGTCCCGAAAAAAACAAAAATTTTCACACAAATTTAGCAAAAATTTTCTCATCGACATTCGAGTTCAGCACCAAACTACAGCCACATTATGAAATATCCCAAACACATAAGAAACTTTACAACAACAAAGAAGCCTCCGACAGTGCTGAATACAAAGAAATTCGTTCAATCGCGACTCTATTGCCCTCATGTATTCACATTTTACACTTTATCAAGTCTTTCAAGTCAGTTCGTTCAGAAGCATTTTAACTTTCGTAGCGTTCAGATCGAAATAAATTCGTATCGAGAAATATAAAAGAAAATCTAATTTTTTTTTCGTCCCCTCAACACACATTATTCATCGTAAAGAGAAGTTGTTGAGCTATAAAAAAAATTAATTTTACAAGAGTTTTACATTCAATTGATGATTAAAATTCTTAAAGTTCACACATAATAAAATCGATTTTAGTGACATAAAAAAATAAAAATTTAATTTAAAGTGGAAAAAGGAAAAAATAATTTTTTGGAAAAACAAAAATTTTCCAAAAATTAAAAATTGAAAAAAATCCATTTCCTCATTGAGGATAAAATGAATCAAAGTTTAAAAGTTGATGAGAAAAATATTGTAATAATTTTGAGAAATTATTTGAGAACGGACAATTATTGGCGAAAGTCATTTACAAAATAGTGTGTTAAGACTTCCATAAGTTAGTGCTTAATTGAAACATACATAAAAAAAGTATAAAAAATATTTTAAGCGAAAATAAGAGAAAGAGAGATAATTTTTTTGAGAGAGTAAAGTTGAATTAAAAAGAGAAATAGAGAGAGAATCATGGAGGAAGAAAATAATATTAGTGAAAACACATCGCCGAAAAAGAATATTAATGAAATAAAGAGTAGTGAGGAAGAAAGAAATAATGAAAACATCGTAACATCTTCTTCGTCGTCAGTTACCGAAAAGTCGGAAGAAAAAAATGAAAATCAAATTAATGCAAATGTGAGTCCAAAATGTTTGAATGCTAATCAATGTAAGAAAGCTAATCAGCAACAACAGCAGCAGCAGCAACAACAGAAGAAGAACAACAAAAGACGTCGCAAGCGTTCATGTCGAACTCGCAAAAACTCTGGTGGAAACTTTAAATATAATCCAAAAGGCAAGCGACGTGAAGTTCCAACACATCGAGATCAAGCTCTACGTCATCAACTCTTCTTTACTGACAGTCAACGGCTAGTTCCATATAATACAAATGAATTTCTCATGGAGGATCATTACCCAAAAATATCACCAAATTTTAATTATCATCCATATAATCACGATTCATTCTCGTCAAGCGATTGCGGCATGTCTGGATCATTAGATGAAGATGAGTTTTTAACCAAAGAATTTCGTATGGATTATGAGAATTTGAGATCGGAGAGATTACATGAAATGACGAAAGATCAATTAATACAAGAATATCTTAAGTTGGAGAATCAAACGGAAATGAGCATGAAGGCCAAAGAGAATGAAATTTCAGCATTGAATAATAAAATAAAAGGTAATAATAGCGCATTAGTGAGGCGTACGGGATCTAATTTATACATGAAATTCACTTTTCCTTTATTCTTGCTTACATCCACAGATTTAACACGACGCTTAGCCAAGAAAAATGGGAATGATGGAAGGGCGGAGAGCGAAGATTCAGAATCTGATTCCTCATCATCATCATCATCGTCATCGTCGTGCAGTAGTTCTGATTCTGATTGCGAAATGGAACACAATGCAAATGATGAATATACAGCATCTGTGATAACTGAACCGCAAATCGTTTCATGCTAAATAATCACAGGTTTTCTTTACTGATAATTTATTTAACTTACCTTCTTATTTTACTTTGAATTATTATTATTTTTATTATCATTATTCTGATTTTACTGAATGCGAGTCATTTTACATCTTTTTTTTATACGGAAAAAATATTATTAATATATTCTGTAATGTACTTCCTTTAATCGTGAGGCAAAGAATATTATTTTGTGAAAATTTCTCGTCAATGAATATTCATGATCATAATATACAGTAAATCTACAGAAATAATAACAATCATCATAATAAATTTATTGCTGGATTTATTCATTCTTTTTTTGTCTTGTCTTTTTTTTTTGCTCTTCTCCTGAAAAGGTCCACTTTCTTTCTTTTTATTCATTTTATTTCTCTTCTTTTTTATCCAACTTAATGCGTTAATATGAATTTTATTCGCTACGCTGGTCAGACTAGAAATTTTCTTCGTTAAGCTTGTTTTATTTTAAATTGTGGAATTTTCAATTTATTGAATTTTTTATAACATTGTAAAAATTATTTTGAAAAAATTGTAAAATTTATTTGATTTTATTTCATAAACTTAAAATGCAATTTATCCAAAGAATAAATTGCAGAGTTTTGAAGTTAAAAGTTGTAAAATTTAATATTTAAATTAAAATTGAATCAAAATTTGAAATTATTAATTTTGCTAAATTATTAGATTATTCTGAAATAAAAATGTTATTTTAATTTATTCAAACTGTAAAGTTTGGCATCATTGATGCAGGTTTTTCTAAAAGTTTTTGCTTCTTTATTGCTTTTTTTTATTAAAATTCAACTGTTTTTTGTTTTAAATGATGCAAAAAATTTAAACAGTCATTTTTTAAATCGAATGTGAGTTTAAACTTTTTTATCGCATCTTTTGATGCAAATTCTTTTTTGGATCTTTTAATGCAGATTTTTTTTCAATATTTGCATCTTCTTTTGAAATGAGGCTAATTTTAGTTCTGCTTCATTGATGCAAATAGTACAATACTTTTCGCATCATTTTTTATAGTTTTGCATCGTTTAAATTTAATAAGCATCTTTTAAATTTGATTTAAATTAGAATTTGTTCTTCAATAACTGATGCGATGGTTGTTCAACTCAAATTTTATGTCAATTTTTGTTTTAATTTTTGCATCTTTTAAAGAATAGATGCAAAAACTTGGATCAATTTATGATAAGGATGCAAAAACAATTTTGCTTCAATGATGCGATACTTTTGCTTAAAAGATTTTAAATTTTTTAACGTAATCTTTCGCGTCAAAGATGCCAAACTTTGCATCATTTACTTTCAAGAGCTCAAAAAATAATTTTAGAAAAATCAGATGAGTTCAAAAAATATACAAGTTTTCATACAGCAAAGACTTAAATGATTCCATTCATACTGCAATAACCACCTTAGCAATTTTCCATTCACAAAAATAATCAAAAAAGAATCTATTTTTAAAAAAAGCAATAATTTGTAGCTTATTAAAAATAACTTTATCAATCAAAAAAATTACTCAATTTTAATATTTTGCAAAAATAAATTCTTATTCGCGACATCATCAAAAATTTTTGTGATTTTAAAGGGAGAAAAAATAGCTGACGAGCAAACGAAGAAAATTGTATGAGTTTGACACATACGAATATACACGTATTACAGAGATTGTGGACGTTTAAAAACGAATTAATTCGAAAGAGATTCTACTTTAAAAAAAAATGTTGAATAATTGTGAGAGAAAAAAAAGTTGAGAATGAGAATAAAAATTGAGAAATAATTGGACATTGAGAATGAGAGAAAAAAAAGTCGGCAGAGCCGAAACACGAGAGCGGAAAATCGTTTTTCGTTAAATTTTCCGCAATCATCGAAGTAAGAAGAAGGAGGGAAATGTTTAGAAGAATTTCACTTTAAAGAGGAAAACATGAAAGTATTTCTGTGAAAGGATACATCACGAGGATTATCTTCCATGGCGTCGACATAAATTATGCATAATTTATGCACAATTTATACATAATTATGCACAATTTATGCACAATTATACATAATTTATGCACAATTTATGCAGATTTTATGCAGAATTTGTGCAGAATTTATGCAGGATTTTTATGCATAATTTATGCATAAATTGTGCATAAATTGTGCATAAAAATTATACATAAATTCTGCATAAAAATTCTGCATAAATTATGCATAAATTATACATAAATTCTGCATAAATTATGTATAAATTATGCATAATTTATGTATAAATAAAGACAAAAAATCACACCAAAAAAGACTAAGTTACTGGCTTGTCTGTAAAATTATAAGTTATACGTTATGGTTAAAATTTAAGGGTTAGCTCCATGTTTTATCGATAAGCAGTTGGTAAATGGTCCTTTTTGTGCTGTTACCAAAATGGTTTATATAAGACACAAGTACAGCGCACACTCATGCGGAATAGTCTTGGCCAGCTTAGTAACTTAACGTTGTTGAATTAAAGCTTGTTAGTTTCTTATAAAGTACAGTAGTAGAAAAGGAGTAAATCGATCATATATCACAGTAATGCCGGACTCGAAAATACTGTGACTCGATTGTTTGTCGATTTAATTGTTTATTTCTTTAGTTAAAATTTAACATTCAAGTGCAACCATAAAACTTACATATCAGTTAAATATTCTCTGATTAAATGGTCTACCAATAGTTAGCGTAAGCGTATTTGTATGCCCCTCGAAATCAAACTAGAAATTTATGTCACTTGGTTAAACTTTAATAAAATTGAAATGTTTCTTTAGGTATTAGCGTAATTATTTTTGAGATAAAAATTAATTTATTGTTTTGGCTTTTGCCAGCCTTAATTCCTGATGGATATGCAAACCAAATGTTTGTGATTTGTAGAAGAGAATCCTAGGAAACATTTTCAAGAACTTTAGTATGAATTTAGGCATCCAGCTTTATAAAGCGTGAAAAGTAAGTAAACATCCCTAACAGACAAGTGAGTATATTCATGGTACCGTAACATAATCAAGAGTCGATGAAAATTTGTATGGAGTCAAGTCGATTCCGCCATACTCGTGTTTTGCTTAAGAGTATGTTCAAAATAAACTCTTTGGTATGGTACCATGAGTATACTCATTTGACTGTTATGGTATGTTTTATTGGGGTTACTTATGTTTAATTTAATTAAATCTTATATTAAAAAATTACAGAAGTCCTCGTGTTATTGATCGAGAGACTTAAGCGCAATTTTGTGTTAGCGATCAGCATTTGATTGTCTATTTATTTTGCGTTCATTTACAGATCATTAGAAGATCATTGATTTTAGTGCAATTAGCAAATAATTACAATGAATGCTTATATAGAAAAGCTTTATTATTTAACGGTCAATAAATAATTTGAAATTTTCCCGCTAAAAGTTGCACTTCAAAAACAATAACTATAGTATAATTAAATAATTTGTTTCGATGAATTTCCATATATAAAAAGTTTATCATTTAACGGTTTTCTGAAGTTCAAATTTTGTAACGGTCGTATGCATTTGAAAGTATCTTGCCAAAAGTTACAGTAAAATCATTAATTATAGTATAAATAACAGTCTGTTGCAAAAAATTTTCATTTAAAAGGCTTTGTAATTCAACGGTTTTTTGAGATTCAAAAATTTTTAACGGTAGAATTAATTATAGGACAAAAAGACTGTTTCAAGACTTTTAAATGCGTTTCCCGAAAATAAAACAATGGACCTGAGCTAATAAAACAAACTAGAACTCTCTACGATGTCTAGCTAAAAAGTTTTTCTCCGCCCGAACGAACAGACATAGTGAAATATTAAGCTACCTTTTCGAAACAAGTTTGAAAAATGCGCTAAAAATACATTTGAATAGTCCTTAAAATTACTTTTACAACCGTATATAACACTTAATATTAAATATCACACATTTTGCAAAAAACCTTTTGCTCCACTTATTCAATTTTTAAAAGCTTTTCAAAAAATGTGTCAAAACAGTCAAAAACTTTTTTCGAAATCACTGGAGTACAAACCACAAACATGATTCCTCATTTTAAAGGTATTTTTATACACAATAAAACGCCATAAAAGGTTTTTTGATTAATTTACAATTAATAAGCCAAAAAAGAAGTTTAGTTAAGTGTTATATAACTTTTATCAAAATTGTGACATCATTTACTAATTTACCACAACATTTTCAATTGTTAGTTAAACTAGATTAAATACAAATTTCAAAACTTATAAGAGATTTAAATATTTGAAATTCAAAACTTTGACCTCTTCAAAAATGATGTAGCCCTTAAGTAAAAAAATCCAAAAACCTTTTAAAGCTTCATCGATTTTTATAAGCTACAAAACTAGATATCAAGCTTATTCTCAAACAGTTCGGAAGTATGTTTTCTAAGAAGCATACATTTGTAAATTTTGAACCGATTAAACCGATTCAAATTTTTCAAAAATGTCGGCATTAAATAGCATCTTCATAGTTATTTCCATCGATATATACTATGAATAGGAAAACTAAGTTATACGAGAGTATTTGAATAAAATGTGGGAAAAATGGAGTTTCAAAAAAGTTGAAATAATGATTCAAATAAAATTTGGGCAGGTTACACTGAAAACAAAAAAAATCATTAATTATAGTATAAATAAACTCTTTCAAGACTTTTAATTGCCCGACCCCGGAACAATACGATGAATCTGAGCTTATAAAACAAACCCAAGCTATCAACGATGTCTAGTTAAAAATATTTGATGTTCAAGAATTGTAATAAAATTAAATAATCTACATAATTTATGCATAATTTTTTGCATAATTTATGCATAACTTTTACAGAATTTTATGCATAAATTATGCATAATTTATGCATAAATTATGTCGACGCCATGCAAAACCTCCATCACGAGATTTATGCTATACAGTTACGAGACAAATGAGATTTAATAATTTTATGAAATCTTCATCAAAACGTTTTAAAGCGAAATTTGTATTTATAAAATTTTTCTTCATTTCCTTCCTTCTTCTTCTTTAATACAGTGTTGCTGTTTGCTGAGTATTGATGAAATTTGAGTCAATGCTTTATGT